ATAAATAAACCAGCGACTGATTCTCCCATGCCCCAGGCAGTCTTTGTTTGTACTTGTTTAACTTTTGTCTAGTTTCTGAACAGATATGAAGAGCTGTGAGCTCTGAGTGCTAAGAGCTAACGGCTGTGTTGTTTTTCTGGGGGCGCTCATTGAAGATGACGTCACGGCTCCGCCTAAACTGCGTTGCTATAGATACTACCCCAGTTCCTAAACTGTAATGTGAGCGCAGCATTAAAGTGAGCCGGGCCTAATAAGGCCTAACCAAACCGAGCGAGGCCTGCAGTGTAAATGCGCCATAAGTGTTTCTCCACTCCACTGAGCTGCTTCATCAGGCTCCACCTGCTGCCTGTCATACTGGATACAGGGCAGGGCCAGGTACAGTGCTTGTTACAGAGCACTGAAAACAAACGTTGGTCTCAAAACCTGACAAAAAGATCACCATAGTGGAACTCAACCACAGTACATACAATAACTAGAAAATGACAATCAGCCTTGGCACCCAGTTACTTTTTTTAACTAAACTACATTAAGCTATTCCTGGCCTACCGGTAACCCAATAGAAACCCTTTGATACCATACACAACTCATGTGTAGCTGACAGACAGCTGAAACAGTGCTATATAAATATAAATAAATATGATCATATTACTTTTAAATGTGTTTGAACCTTTTTCTTCTAAATGAGGTCTAGACTAGTAGCAAGGATTTGTTCCACCAGTGTCCTCTGTTCACTGTCACTGTCACTGAAGCTCAAAAAGCCATCGCATCGCAAAGCGGAAATAATTGTATATTATATAAAACTGGCCACCTCATAATACAAACATATGTATATAAAGGTAGTTCTTTAACTACTGCGCAGAAACACAGGGAATCTCCCATTTATATTAGAACAATGATATGAGCATTAAAAGAGCAATTTTCCCAAGCAGTCATTCTGTCCTTTGATATGTGCTTGGGCCGACACGCTCACACATCAGACAGATATATTTTTAGTTTTTTTCATTAAGTGTATTTTCCTTTTCTCCTTCAAATTGCTTTATTGAGGGCTCTCTTAATTAAATAAAAATGAATTGGTCTTATCAGATGTTGAAATAGGAAAAAAGTAAGATAGTATAAACGACTTAAATCTTTTTCTCTGTGCAGTAAGTGGCCGAAAAAACGTTTGGCTTCCACCATAAGAAGTCCTCAGCACTCTTTATCCCAGCGGAGGCAATCACAGCGACAATCAGCTGATTGTCAGCGGGGAAACAATGATTCACATTAATTACCATCCTTTTATATTCAGTTCCAATTAGCAATATTCTATATTTTCTACCCATAATGAAACGGTTAAATAATCAAATAATAACCAGTGTGCAACCCAATTTTGACAGGATAACAACTGGTGACTTCTAGAATTGTGTGAGTAATTCTGTTTTTAGACTTCTCTGTTGTTTCAGTGTGTGTACTCTGTATAAATGCTCTGTAGTTGATCTGATTGAAATTGTGATTTTAAATCTCAAAACCGCTACAGTATCTGTCAGGCAGAAACTTGGGACAAGTAATTTGACTGAAACCTTAAAACTGAACTAACTGACTGCTAGGGTTAACTTTGATTTAAACATTTGTAGAATACTAAGAGCTTTATTGAGTAGGTGTAACTGTATTAAGGGTTAAACTCTATAACTTAGGGTTTAATGTAATTGTAAAACCATTGTGCCACTGAAAATACAATAACAACTCAGGAGGGAGCCAGTCTAGATTTCCTTTTGAGGGCCACCAGCTGCAGATAGTTAACTAATTAAAGGGGCGTGGCCCCACAGCTGTGAGAACTCAGCAATCAGGTGTCCATTTTAGGTAGCACTTTCCTGGAGCGTCAGACAGACGAAGACTGACAAAGACATTAGAGTCCTGCGGGAGTCACGAGGGAGTCAAATCCTACTTTGATTGAGCTAAGTATCGCTGGTGTTTTATTTTATTTGGTTTTTTAGCCCCTCATGCTATAATCATGTGTATTTTCTCCATTCTCCGTGTATCTCCTAATTACGGTGGCCGGCAGGTGCAAACGCTAAACAACGGCCAAAAACACACACATAAGCAGGAAACACCTGCAAATAATGAAATGAAAAAACAAATACAACAGAAAAACGCTGCATTTACAGAAATGAAGCAAGCTAAACCTACAACACACAAACCCCGAAAACAAACGCAACAGAAAAACGCTGCAAATACAAAAACGAAATGCAATATACATACACATACAATGCACATACAACCGAAAAACACATTACAAAAACGAAATGCAAAGTCAAAAGCACATACAACCGAAAAACACATTACAAAAAAAAAAGACATTACAAAAAAAAAACATTCCGGAAGTGTTCCAGGCCTCTAGGGGGCGCGCTACGTGGAACAGATTGATGTATGACCAGACATAGACAGAACGAACAAGAGGAAAGAAAGTTCATTTAAGTGGAGAAAGATATAAGAAGGTAAGTTTTATTTTGTTTTTATACATAGAGCGTCATATTTACGTAGCTAGCATTGTGCATCTAAATGTAACTCTTGACATAATATAGATATAGTATAGAACTGGGCCGCCCCTCCCTACACGCAGATCACACAGACTGGGTGGGGTCTCACGCCCTCACCTCTTGGAGGGGGCCTCAACTGAGCCGCAAATGCGATGCGGTGATAAAAAAGTAAATAAAATAAAATGTAAAAAGTTGAATTAAAATATTAAAACAGCAACACAACATTATTCCCACATTAAAAGCCAGTCTGAAGAGGTGTGTTTTGAAGGTGGGGGGCTCGGTGCAGTCTCTGATGTTTAATGGGAGTGAG